TTTCATGAGCAAACTKTATTTGGTATGTTTTATGACGTTACCTTAAGATCTTTCTTCAAATAGCGTTTTGCCTTTTTCAGCTTCTCAGTGATCTCTTTTGCCCACTTGAGCCATCGGCCATATTCATCACCAAGCTTGTCTACTACATCCTCAAGGTCGTCGAAGGCTGTGGCTCCAGTGGCTGAGAAATAGTCTAATCCTTGAAGCGATTTTCTCACCGACGCGGAACAAACGCTAAGAATTCTGCACAATGTGCTTCTACTAGCTGGTTCAAAACCAGTGTCTTTACAGTATCCTTGATACTGACGAACTATTTGCTGGGGGATTAAGGTGCGTACAACGCTTGGGATTCTTATCTGCTCGCGTGAAGATAGCTTGAGGAATTTTTCGCCGAAAGGCAAGTCTTGTACGATATGCGTGCTGGTGATAAACGTGAGGAAATGGTCTAATTTCCCGGGGTCGACATACATGCGGGTATTTTTTACTCTCGGCAATACAGAGCCCCTTCCATGCAGTAGTGTGTGATCAAGCGCTATGTTGAATCGGTAACTCGTGAGATCAGGTATCCACTCTTTCAATTCCTTGAAACTCATTTTGTCTGCTATGATGGATAAAATTTGTCTTCTTGTACTCCAATGGCTGCTATTATGATAACAACCACAAAGAGCTTCAACTAAAGAGTAATCAGTTGTACTCTTGCGCTTTTCTTTAACCAAACAATCAAGTAGAGCAGTGGAACCTCCAGGTACGATTTCCTCTAGACAGGTATGAACTACTTCTCGTCCCTTACGAATATAATAGCGTTTTGTGCTTTCTAATGCCTCCTCCCATGGGACTGTAAGTGTGTGTCGGACCGGAGTGATGTCTCTTGATGCTAGATATGCGTTTAATTGTTCCACAGGTGCAGGATGCATGTCAAAGGACTGGTCTTCTAATTCAAAGGATACACACAAGCTCTTTGATTTTTCACTATATGGTGTATCTAATGTCTCCTGTTGTCGTAAAGGACTCATCTGGGTTTGGTTTGAACGTTACTTCTTCATCTATTTCTCGTCCGTCTTTATTCCCTGTCTTTATTAAAATGGGGGGGAAATAATTCGATAATGAAAAGAACGTATTTCAAAACTTATTCATGGAAGTATATCGTGCCTATTATTGCTTCAAAAACGACCACGCTCTTTGGGTTCTATAGGAACATTTTGCGTCGTCTGGATAATTTGATATATTCAAATAATGCGCGCCGCCTTTTAAAGACCCATTGCCACTTACCGTGATGCATCACAATTTGTTTACATTTTGAATCGTGTCACCACTGAAAAAACAATTCCAACCT